GGGCCGTGATAATTAGAATAGGGTTTGGGGGTCTATTACACGATTATATAATAAGGAACCCCCAAAACCCTATTCTACTTATTAAGGCCCCTGCATTAGACTCTAAACCCAAGCCCTGAACCCTAAACCCAAAACCCTAAACCCTAAAACCCTAAACCCCTAAACCCCTAAACTCTAAACCCTGAACTCAAAATGGCGCTAAACGCCCTGAACCCCGGAAGTCCTCGTCGGGCCCCTCTGCTGCATCTTTTGGTGCCGTGTCTTTTGTCGGCATCTCCTCCCTGTCCTCAGGCTCCTGACTTTCACTTTAACGTCTTAGGATTAAACCCTAAACCCTAAACTCTGACTCTGTCTTAGGCGTCTTAGGATTAAAAGTTGTAGAAACTGCGAGGTTTCCTAGCCTATGTAGGGCTTTTGAAAGATGGGTTTAGGGTTTAGGGTTTAGGGATAATAAGTATAGGGTTTGCATTGCATGTAGATACTAGCTATAGGGCTATAGGGGCGTATTCGGGGGCTCAGTCGCTGTACTTAATGGGTTCAGGGCTTTCGGGGTGTCGGGTTTACGGATCGGGCTTGCAGGTGTAGCGTTCGGGGCATCGGCCGCGCTTAGGTAGGCTTCGGGGGTCAGGGTTTCTGTGGATACGTTTTCGAGTTTGGGTTCCTAGATGCTAAGTTCAAAAGCAAGGCTTCTTCTGTAAGGGTACAACGAGGGTTTTGAGTAATCAGCCATAGCATCCACTGTTCTTGGCCATCTGCAGTTGGACTCTAGTATGCCGTACCCCGAAGCCCTCGTTCAACTATAAAGGCTTCTATAGATTCTATATTATTCCCTAAGGGTCCTTGTACTCATATAGAAGATACATTGGCCTTAATGTAGTTCCTATTTAGGTACTTTAGGGTCTAAGTCTACTATATGGGTACATGGACCCTTTGGGATTTATGGACCCTTAGGCTGCGCGGACCTCCTCGGATTTCTCCCGCTCGAAGTCGCCCCAGCTGAATCCGTCGAGAGCCTGGCAGGGAATGCCGGGACCAAACATACCAGGGCCCTCTTGCTTGTCGGG